ATGATCTGCATTTTCATACATGTATGGAAATAAAAATCATACGTTACATACATAAGGGTTCATACATTACATGTTTTTGTAACACCGCTTTGGTAAGCAAATGGAAAATGTCTGAAAACATATGAGAGTAGAATTACTTAAACCTGATGAGGACAAAAAACTTAAACGTCTTACTGCATCTCCTTTATATGTAGGTTTTAAGGCTTTCGAAGGCGGAATTACAGCCATCCATATGCTAAAAAGCCAGATTACTCTAAATAAGCCAATGTTTGTAGGGCAAGCAATTCTCAATATTACTAAGGCTATGATGTATAACTTTTGGTATGGCTATATTAAACCCCATTATGGAGAAAAGGCCTGCCTTCTTTATACTGATACCGATTCACTAATTATGTGGATTGAAACTGAAGACATTTATAAAGACTGGGCAGAGAGGCCAGACCTATTTATATACCAATCTGGAAAGTAACTGCTGATAGATCCTAAAATTAGACTAGTATATACTAGATTTATTGCGAGGCGTAGTCATATTTCTGTAATAAATTAGTTATTATTATTATTATTATTATTGCTAAAAATTTTCCGGATTTTCATTTTTAATATTAACCTCTGGAAAAAAAAAGAGTTTCCGGATTTTTAAAGTACTATTTCCAGCGCTGGTTGTAAAGTGAACATTTTAGTTTGTATTACCAAGAATACAGGGACCAAAATTTTTATCACAATTGTATTATTACAAATTACCTTTGTTTCAAATGCATATTTGCTATTTCTTTCAATTATATTTTCATTTAATTCCATTTTTTGGAACCAGTAGCAAAAACCAATGAAATCAAATTAATTAAAAGTGAGGGCACCAAAAATCAATAGTAATACTTGTCCAGAAAGATTTTTTGGTTGAGCAGTATCTGCATTGAGTGAGAAAGCAAAGGATCTGGATAATTTTCAATTCATGGCTAAAAGTAGTAGCAATTAAAATAAACTTTGATAAATCCACTTTATTAAACAATTCAATGTTTTGTTGGGAATCAAAAACTGGCAATAATAGAGGTTGGAATTGACTAAAATAGTTGACTAAACTTTTTTTGAACAACTAATAGTTGACTACTAATACTACTAACACTAATATTATGCTAATGTTATTATTGTCTGACCAATTATGATTTTTGTGTTTTATCATTCAAAATGGAAAATTTCTATGCAGAAGAGTATCAATATGATGATGGTGACAATAATGGTGGTGTTGTTGATGATAATTTTACATGTGAATGAATAAACATTTCCAATACAAGGTCCAATATTCATTGGCTTCAAGTTCCAATGCTTTAAGTGGTGGTTCCAAAAAACCTTTAAAAAACGAATCGTAACATATGGTTTTGTGTGGAAGTATTTTGAAATGAATTTGTAATTTGCAAATTAAAAAAAAAAAATTTAGTTGACTAAAAATAATCAACTAAATAATCAACTAAAATAGTTGACTAAAATAGTCAACTAAAATAACTAACTAATAGTTGACTAAAGAAATTTTGACCAACTAGTAGTCAACTAAGAATTTTTTGGGGCGATTCCAACCTCTAGGCAATAAAGCTTCTTCTAAGGCTTGATTTTTAAAGCAAATGATAGGAAATTCTTAAGTACATAACCAATGATAATAGGAATTTTTTTTTTACTGACTGTACCAAGGTTTGGGGAATATTTTGCTTACTCAATCAGCCAATAATTATACCTCCAATCATAAACCAAATAAATATTTGCAAATTATCACAGTTTCCAAATCTTCTCCAATAAGTTTCCCTGTCAACTTCCTCTTC